AATCTTTAATTATTATTTTAATTTTATTTTGCATCAATTTATCTTAAGGTATATAATTTGTATACAAAAACAAGGCTTAAAGGTCTCTAAGAGACCTTTTACCTACTTAATTGATTACTCTCAGCCAATCTGCATAAAATATTTAAAACGCCCATTCAAAAATACAAACTTCCTGTTTAATATTATAAATATGCAAATTTCGTATAAATTTAATTGCCGCCAAGCAAAGCAAAATATTTATTAAAAAAATAAAAATCACAAAACAATAAAAATTAATAAATTATAAATGCAAATGTCAAAGATGTAATAAGTTAGCTCATTACGAACGAAAAAGCGTAGACAAATACATAATACATGGATGGCTTTGCTTTATACGCGTACACGTTGTGCTAGCCAAGTTGTTGCTTGTCGACGTCTTCTTCAATTTCAATTTCAATTTCACTTTCATTTTGCGGTTTACAGTTTTTCCAACTGGCAACGGCGACCGCAGCGCTGCACGCAAGCTACAAGTTGTTGTTGATGTTGTTGCTGTGTGTGTGTGTGTGTGTGTGTTGCATGTTGCATGTTGTAACAGCAGCTGGGAAACAACAACAACATTTGCAGCTGCAATAAAACATTTCAATTCCGAAATAATTTTGTTTGCAGCTTGCTGTTGTTGTTGTTGCTGCTGTTGTTGTTGCTTGTTCTATGGCCTAAGCCAGTTATAAATACATAAATAATTTTTGTATTTTTGGCATTTTCGTTTTGACTGATTTTGGTTCGTCGGAATTTTGGCATTTCTTCTTTTATTTGTTTTGTTTTAATTATTATTTTTGAGGTTTTTTGATTTAATTAGCTTGCTGGCGCGCACGTCGTATACACAATATGCTTGTTGCTTATGAATTTGTATGGGCTATATACATATAAATATATGTGGAATATGTATTCAATATAAATAAAAATATTTATTTTGTAAATATATTTAGTAAGTAAATAAATCATATTTATATCTATAATGCACATATTTTTTCCATATATGTATATATACATACATTTTTGATATTACGTATACGCTTGGTACGTATAAAATTCTAAAGCAATAGATTGAAGCTATATTCTTTATTATAAATGTTAGTATAGGTACTATATTATATTTTCAAGTATGTACATCTTATTATATATTATAAATATATTTTATGTTAAGTTCCAAAACATTGTATATATTATTTATATCAATATTTTTATACTCATAGCTCAGTAGAAATGGGAAATCAGGGTAAATTGGTTTCATTAAATGCATACCCCCATAAAGTATATATATTCTAGATCAGGGAGATGAGCTGTGTTGATTTAGCACTGTCTGTATAAATCGTTAATCTCAAAGTCGATTAAAAGCATTAAAAAATTAAATTATAAAATTATATCTTCAACATCTTTAGAGCTGGAGTCTCCAAATTTCGCATGCATATTCATGTGTGTATCATACAATTTTGATTTTTATTATTTATTAAATTCACCCACTTATTCACTTCCTTTTAGTTGCCATACATTATATTTTTAGCTTACGCTAATCATAACAAATTTGTTGATTTCGTCAATTAGAGAAATTTAAAAACAAAATTGTTAACGCATTTCAGCAGTTGCCTCTTCTCGTTGTTGTAGTTGTTGTTGTTGCTGTTGTTGTTGTTTGTGTATTTTTGGTAACCTGCTAGGCGAAGCCGTCTGCACAGCTGTTTTTGGGTTTCATTAGCTGTCGGCGGCTTTTCAACACACATTCAAGGTACAAGTTCCCAACTCTATTGTTTCGCCTATAAACAATAGAAAAAGATTCGCTCGCCCTTTTACACACACACACACACACACTCACACACTTACGAAGACACACATGCACACACACTCTGACAAATTGCAGCTGATACGAAATGTTGAGCAAATGCAAAGAGTTCAGGTCGCAGACATTTTACGTAATCCTTTCCGTCAGCGTTGTCGCCGTGGCGCTGCTGCAACCTGCAACATTTCAACTTTGAAATCAAATTTATTATCTTTTGTTGGCTTTCGGTTGCTGCGCTGATTTTTTTTCTATTTCTTTTCAGTTTGTTTTTCTGACTTTTTTTTTTTTTCGCAAAACGCCAACAGTTGAACTTTGTTATGTCACTTTGTTATGCTACACAGTAGATTATATTGTGATTTGTGTGGGAGTTTGGTTATTCATGTTTGGGCATTTGGTTTTGGGTACGCGTTAGGCTAAGGAGAGTTGCATTTAATGTGTGCCTCTTTAAC